GGGGGGGGGGTGGACGGGGGGTTTCATTTCATAACAATTACTTAATTTTCGACTTCAATATGGGGAAGTGACAATATCAATAAAAATGATAATAACCTGAATAGTTTATTTCATACCATAAAAAGGTGAAAGCATTATGAGAGTGCGTGAGTCCAAAGTAAGCATTAAATTCAGTTTAACCCACCTAAAGCAGTTGCTAGTGCTCTGTTATTAGCTTGCAGGCTCCCATACAGCTCATCAAAACTTTTTCCTACACAGGTTAGAAAATAATAAACAAAGAGATATAGCCATTTGCCTTTTTAAGTTTTATACTGAAAACTGCAAGCATCACTACCGTGTTTAAAACATAGAACATAGAAGCTGAAGACCTGAAGATATTTCACATGTACCATTTATGTTCTTTTTTTTTTTTTTTTTTGAAACCCGACAAATATCATTATCATCAATAACGACAATTTAGAGGCCTCAAAATCTATATTTCATCGGTCATCATTATTTAAAATATATGAAAACAAAATAACAATGCAGTAAACTTAACAGTGTATACAAATCATTTACCTTTTTCTCTGTGGGCTTTTCTTCTTCTTCTTGATTTTCCATCTTCTTTGCTTCGCACGGAATTAATTTTTTGAGGTTTTTCATTTTCTATTGTTTTTCCTTCTACATAATTTTCTTTTTCTTCGTCTCTCAACTTTTGCAGGTTACTAGGATCTAAGCTAAAGCGCTGGACCATGAAGATACAGGAGAAGGAAAAAAAAGTAAAAATTTATGCAGTGCTCATCGTTTACTCAAAGTTCAGCTCTAATGACAAGAACGACTATCTGAGGGAGGAAAGAATCGAGTTGCTAGTCTACATTAAGYTTACTCTGCTATTCAAAGCCACAGAAGAAAGCTGGATCCTTGTTAAATACTCAAAATGAATCAAATAAACTTGTTCAGCTGATAAACAAATTCAAATTTAGTATGCGTGATTTGGAACTAAATATAAGCTTAGTATTCAACTTTAAAATTAATCCTGAGCTTTACCTTGGGCTGTTTTCTTTTCTTTGGCGCTTGTTTACTAATATCCAAGCTTCTCCTGGTTTTCATAGCAGTGAAAAGCAATTCTTTAGAGCCGATAAAGAAAGAAAATGAGAGAAAAAGGAGAGAAATCTTGACAAGATTAGCCGATCAAAAACAGATTCAAAACTCGCGCCATCATTCAAGTCTTACCCAGTCTTTTAGCTACCATTTGTTGCCGAGAGTCCCGAGAGATACCCAGGCCTTTTTTTTACCAAATTTATTGTTACTGCTATTTTCTAAGTACTTTTGATGATAACATGGATAATACCTATGTTTGGATCTCTCTTTTGACTGTTCATATGTTCTCTAATAAAGAGATAAAAGTCTTTCACTATGAAGTCGTGATTAGATACCAAGCCTACATTATGGGCGATGTGAATGCAATCAGCAAAAGGTTACAAACTTCGACTGCGCGTTTTTTTCGGCATGTTTTCTTCTGTTTAACACCTTCACCGCCAAACTTTTCTCAAATAGCCGTAAACAGGTTCGCTATACATTTTTAACTGTGACGAGAGCGTCAAGAACACCTAAATTAAGGGCTCGTTTACACTAAATCCATTTTAGATCGACCTAGTTAGGATAGATCCGAATCGAGATCGATCCGAGCTACAAAAAACACAGGTAGTCCAACCAAAACCAGGAGCCAAAATATCTTTAAAAATATTAAACTAAATTGGCGGATTTAGTTCCACAAGTTCCTCTCTCCTTTGTTCTTATATTACGATATTCTTCCGTGAGTTTTCCAGCATATTCATAATTGCTTTTAGAGGGAAAACTTTCTTGTCGCTCGACGTTTCACCAGGTTAGGGACCGACTAACCTCTCCCTTAGGCTTCGGCCGAGCTTCCTGATCAGACAGCGGTGACGGGACCGAACTCTCCGTAAAAGGTGCGMGCTGCCATACAATGGTTCAGCACTCCATGTCTGGAAGTATGATTCTTTTTAAAGAATCAAAAAGTAAAAATCCCAAAATCATGTTTCCATAGCAGATAAACTTTGAAATAGATAAAACTTAGTACGATGCACGTTCCGTTTAGTTTTACTAAACGCATCCCACATGGAAAGGAGTGAGTATGCGTTCAAAGCCATCAGCATCACAATCAAGACTTTTGAGTTTGCTGGTCATAGCAAGGGGTTAATCATCTATGGTCTAGGGGCCGACTAACCTCTCCCTTAGGCTTCGGCCGAGCTTCCTGATCAGTCTGTAAATCTTTGGATAGCGGTGTCGGGGCCGAAATCTCCGGCGTAGCCGTAAATGCTTCGCGCTGCCATACAACGGTTCAGCACTCGATGTCTGGAAGTATGGTCCATTTTTAAATCAATCACAAAGTAATAGTCCCAAAATCACGTAAATTCCATAGTAAATAAATTTCTAAGTAGATAAAATTTACTAACAATGATGCTTGTACGTTACCGTTTAGTTTTACCATAGCAAGAGAACATAGCAAGAGAATATGAACTATCATGTGCACACTTTGATGCTATTTTTAGAATCTATTCTAAAAATATCGTCCAATGATATTATTTATTTCAACGTTTGATTTTCTGCACGCGCATAGTACGCGCKCTCTCTACGCTGTTTGCTAACGTTTTCTTGTGCTTTTCTTATGTTCAAATGTTAAAATCTGCCCTCAAGTTGACGATGTAGGTCGAAGGCTTTGGAAAATAATTGTAAAATTACTCCAGAAAGTTGAACAAATTACTACTTAAATTTCCTGTCGTATTTGCCAAGCTTTCGACAGCACATTCTTATTCAGGGCAGAGTCGAAATAACGGAAAAACCCCCGCGCAGAGCGCGCGCAATAAATGCGCGTGCAGAAAAACAAATGGTTTAAAAATAGCATCAAACTGTGCACATGATGGTTACAAGGCTATATAGGGGGAATTCCTTCTCTTAGTTCATTTTCTCTTGACCATAGTTAATGGAGCTTCATTAACTATGGTTTTACTAAACGCATCCTAAAAAGAAAGGAGTACCGATATGCGTCCAAAGCCATGTTAAAAATCATGTTTCCATAGCAGATAATCGTTGTTAAAAATCATTCACTGACTTTTGGAAAAAATAGAGAATTTTCCCGACCAAAATAAAAATTCCCTGACAATTCCGTGATCCTGAAAAATAATGTTAATTTCAATACCGGCTTTTCCCCTGACCGTGGGAACCCTTTACAAATTGGATTCACAGAAGCCAAAACCTGCAGGTATTTTCTAACCAAAGATAGTTTCTTGATTCGCATAATCAAGAAAATGACTGTAAACAATACAAGAATTGTGTTCCTTTTGCTAGCACATTAGCACAATTCTCCAATGCAATACCTGTTCCACAAACAGCTTTTATTGAACTTTGATAATATTGTACACATTTGATTATTTATCTGCTTTAGTAAAACCTAAATGATTTTCTTTCTTTATTTTTTTTCTTTAATTTTTAATTTAATCTAAACTTCGGCGATGCGACTTTGTCTGGTATTCACGTCAATTTTCAACTTAATGCAGTTGCCAAAATAAAATCAGTTATTTTCCGAAAATTTCAACACGAACGAACTTTGATCAAGAAACATGTTCTTTGTGGGCCTCGTATTGCCAGCCAGAGATAAAACTATAGAAAACTAAAGCTTTGGGGAGCCGTGTTCAATATTTACCATCGTCCAGGCGGTAAGAATGATGGTAAAATATGGTGGAGGAAAGGGGGGAACAAAAATGAAGGTTGTCATTATAACAGCAAGCAGTTATGTAGTCGTCTTCTCGTCCTTCTTCGTTTTTTCTTCTGCTTCCTCACTGACTTCCATCTTTTCGCTCTTTTCTTCTGTTTCCTCTTCCTCCTCTTCCTACAGCGAGTTAAATTCATAAAAATTTATTGGATTGGACTGGAAAAATTTAATCGATGAAACCAAAATGAAATTTACTTTGCAATGAAAACCAAAGCAAGAAATTAAAATATATGGAACCACAGGTAACTCACACTAGATAAAAGTAATCTATAAAATATTTTGGTTTATAGGGAGGATAAGATATTCTGTAAAAGGGATACTTTCTTTCTAAAAAATATAAGACGTTTTGTTATTGCGATACGCCTTTTTTCTTGCTTTCCTATAGACCCTTGCACTAAATCCCTACCTAGGGGTTAAAACAATTGAAATCATTAACATCATAAAATACTTCGATCCTCAAGAGAAGGGATTTCTTTTTTTTTCTTTTCTTTTATTTGACCCCCCAGATTGAGCTGCTTTGACGTCACAAGGGGTTTACTTTTCCATCTTACTTTCATCTAGTGGGCTCCCTGTGTTGTAAATACAATAACTTACCGATTCATCACACTCCGTACAGTACCACATATAACCACGCTTCTTGGGGTTACTCTGCAAAACAAATGGGTATAAATCGATTAAAACTGTTCAGCTGAAAAGAAGTATAAAATATTTGACAAAGAAAATGTCTGCTTTACCTTGACTGGTGGGTCCAAACAGCCAAAATGATAACACTGCTTACAGTTATCACACCTGAAGGAAAATATTTGAAATGTTTGTTTAAATGATCAAAGAACATTTGAATTTGTTTCCCCTCCTTCCCCGTCCCTTTTACATTCCTTGCTTCTGTTCATTATTTCCCTCCTTTCTTCCATTGGTTCCTTCTTTTATTCTCCCATTACTTCCTTTCATTCATTCTTTGCTGCAGCAGTCATTTTTTACTAGTATTTTCTTCCTTTCTTGCTTCCTTCCTTCCTTGCTTCCTTCCTTTCATTGCTTACTTTATTCTTTTTCAATCTATTTTTTTCCATTTCTTTCTTTCATTTCTTCCTTCCATTTATTCTTTCCTTCTTTCTTTTCCTCCTACAATTTCCATGAAAGATGTTTTTTCCAATTTCCTTCATTTGAAAACTGTACTAATACATGGCTTTGCACCAGGAGATAGTAACAATAGGCATTTTGCAATAGATTGACACGTGATTGTTACTGGATGGCAAAAAAATTGGACTTCCTTTATTTAAAGATTTTTTGCTGGATTACTAATGTCCTATCCAAAACCTTTTCAAAAATACGTTTTTTCCCTTTTAAGATACTTTCGAATTCAAGATACGAAGCATCTTAAAGTTTGTTTGCCATCCAGCAGAGCCTTCCCCAAGGGACCTTGAGCTGAATTGATTCGCTATCGAAGTCATATATCAGCACGTGACTGTTTGTTGCATAAGGCCTGTTGAACCTGGTCTAGTCTGATTTACATGAGAAAGGAATTAAAGTTTCCCAAGGAAAAAGACTATTGTTGTGCCTCCTGTCATTGCCGCCATCACATGATGGTGCAAAGCATCTATTGATTGTTGTATAGAAACAGTAAAGTAGCGAAAGAGCCAAAAGCTTCTTCGTCTTAAAACCAAAAAGATATTTGCTTGTTCAGTCACAGTGGTCATATAAAGTGATTGATATTTTACCTTGCAAGAGTGTGATTATCTCCTTTTCGTTTACACTTAAAACATTCGGTACGTAAATCTTGGACTTTTTCTTTACGGACGTATTCTTTTTTCTTCCTTGGCCGTTTTTCTACTTTCTGAAACATCGTATGATATCTAGTTGGTATCTATGTTTCCGCATTTCAGACCACGTGTCATTCCCTTCAGTACTATGTCTTTGTTTTAAAAGATTTTAAAAGCTTTATGGAGTGATTTCATTTAAACCGTCAAAATTTGTAATTTTTCTTTTGCATTACGTTGCCGGCTGTTTTAGTGGTATTTATCAAAAGAGTTCTCATTAGCCCCCTTTGCTAATACTACCAACATGGCGGCCCGTCGTTTGACTCTCTTGGGAATCGATATTCCCATGAAAATAAAAACTGAATTAGGCAAATATCAGACCACAAGGGCACTTATGGTCTGTTTGTTCCACGGGTAGAATGAAATCCCTCTATCGATACGTTTCGAACAAAGAATCTTATTCCTAATGACACGTACTCTGAAATGGGGGAAATYGCAGCCAAGCTGAATGCTTCTATTGTGAATTAGATTTGAAAAGTCGGCGTTACTGCGGCTGTAAATGATTATGATGACCATTGTGATGATGATGATGATAATCCACTTACAGGTTTCTTTGGTGCAGACTCCGCTTCAGGTGTGTTGACAACATCTTGTGAGGCTTTTCGTTTTCTAAACACTTTTATTCTTTGTGGCTATGGAAGAAATAGGTTAACAATATTTATTCTATTATGACTATATCGATTATTTTCTTATTTATCATGTATAATTGAATATTTGGAAATTTTATCTTAGTTTGCATAAGAACAGCAAATAAAATATTAAGTCCTCCTACCCCCCCCCCCCCCCCCAGTACTGTCTCTAGCAGTCAAAGTTGGAGACTACTCTCCGCATATGGCAAAACCTGTTAATGTCTTGGTGTACAGAATATTGGGAATATAGGATAACGAGCTTCAATGAGAATGCCATGATGGCCGTCGAACATTAAAGTTGATTTGGAGCTAAGTTTGAGAATGCAATCCTGGTAATGCCTTGATTTATACAATATGCCAAAGATGTCAATGAGAATGCCATGGCATTATTTTTTTTAAATTGCACTCAACACACCTCGCCCTTATCTGGAGTAAACTTGGTAGGCTCTTTTATGGTTCTTCTTTGTCGACTTTTCGAAATTGGAGTATCGTCATCCACATTCACATCGACCTCTTCCTCACTTTCGCTGGGATCGCATTCAGAGCACTGCCTGCAAAAGTCCAGGAAATGAAGAACAATGTGAAAAGCATTCTCGACCCCCCACCCCCGTTGCTTCCACACGACCATNCCCCCCTTCACCCCCACCCTACCCCCATCAAGACATTTAGTATGAATGAAGAAGATGATGGTCAAGACGTGCTTACCACAAACACTTGGCAGACTTCCTGGGCATTCTTGTAAGGGGTGGGTCTACACAGCCCAGGTGGTAATAGTTATGACACGTGTCACATTCAGTCATCAAGTGGGGATTGGTTTTTTCGTTACATTTAGCGCACCTGCAAGATACAATGAAACCTTGAATACCAATATCATTATGAAATTCCAAGATCACAATTATGACAAATCTACTCTTAGTTGTCTAAGAACAAGTACACTGACAAGGACTGGAACTCATTATTAACTCATTATTAGGCTATGTCCGCAATAAATACGTATATTTTCAATGCGTTTAGGGCTTGCGTCCACACTAAAACGATTGCAGACGTATGCAAACGCTCTTCAGATTAGAGATATTTGAAAACGGAGGCGTATCGCATTAGCGTTGACGTATTAGGCGTTTCAGTGAAAACGCTGATGTTATTGACACTGGCACGTCTTTTTTTCGCATACGCAGATGACCATATTGCATCAATCCCGTTTTTGATCGTTTTAGTGTGGACGAGCGAAAACGCTATGAAAACGCTAGTGTGGACGCAAAGTTTTCGGTGCGTTTTCGGTGAGACGAAAAAGAGCGTTTTGAAAAAACATTATGATGTCGAAGGGGCCTAAACTTAAGCTCATGTCAAACGTCGAACTTCACATGAGCCGAACCTAATAACATCATAGAAGACCGCCTTGTTATCTTTTGTTTCAAATGGGTTCGGCACATGTCGTAAAGTTCGACGTTTGACCTGAGCCTTAAGGACCCACGATGTCTCTGGGTATCATGCGGCTCAGTCTATTCTAGCTTGCCCAAGAAAAGCTGTATTCTACTTACGGATGTATCTGGATGTGTTTTGAAGAGGTTTCCGACATCTTTCGTTTTGTTTTTCTTGTTTTTAGAATCTCAGGCAAACTGAAGTCCTGAAGAAAAACACAAAGTATCAGTAAAATATCAACAAGCAGTTTTAACTATGGATTTAACTATGGAATTGTTTTACTTTGTAACCTTCCTTGTCCCATAGATTTAGTTCTCTACAAGAAGATAACTAGCACGAATATAAAAAAGGATGGTCAATAAAATACACGTAAAAAAGCAACGCGTTACGTGCACTGTTATAACTGCTCCACCGCTTTTCACCATCGTGATCATGCATAGCTTTGATGCCCGAACCCACCATCATAATTGAGTAGAGCATATACTGAGAATTACTTCTCTATGAATTGAATGCACCCTTCTCAAAATTGTCTGGAATACGAGGCTAACATGGAAATACAAAAGAAATGCCACAAATTCCATCGAGAAAAAGACGTGATTTCTTTTGTATTTTCATGCATCTACCTTGCATCCACGATACTTTTAAGAAGGGCCCATTGTCTTTATTGCTCTTAAATTCTTCCTTTTAAAAAAAATTGTCATTGATATAAATATAATTAAGGAAAGTATTTCATATTGACTGGTACCAAGGAAAAAAGTGTGTTCCAGTTTTGTGGTCCCAAGACGGTACAAAAATTATTATAAGCATTATATTAGAGCCTGTGAGCAGTGAACTGGGACGTCTTAGCTAGCCCCCTCCTATGCTTTGAGGATTTTTCTTGGTATTCTCCGGTTATTAGCAGAAACTTTCGAGTTAGCAATGACAATCCTACCTGATCAGCGAGTTGACATAACAGTTGGTGTAGAACCAGACCTTCCTCTCGGTGCTTTTTTAGGGTGCTTGTCAGACCATGAAGATTTCCTGTCAGCTATACTCACAAAAAAACAAGGTTCAAATGTTTAATTATTTCCACTAAACATCAAGAAATATGAAGACTTGTAAGAGAGTGAAATATGAGCACTGTATACGTAGACCACAAGGAACCCAGCTCAGAAATATGGAAAATTCGAGGACTTTTGCTAAGGGGCTCTAGATCGCTCTAGCAAAGATTACAGTAGACAAAAAAATAATACATTTTCCAAAAACTCTGGTTTTATTTTAGCTGTTACTGAGAGATCAGAGAAGTAGTGAGGGTCACAGAGTTGGAGGAGCAAACGYGCTTGTTTGGCGCCAAAGTTCCCGCCAAATCCACAGAAACTAGATAAACATAAAAGGGCCATATATTTTAGTCACAAGGGATTTCTCTGTTACCCCGACATTGAACATTAATTTTTTTTGGGACCATTTCGACTTTTGAATATGGAAACCCCTAGGTTTTAGAAGAAAGAAAGGTCCCATCCCTTCCTACGTACAGTACTATTATACCGTACCTTGTCTACTTTTTCTCTCAGTTTTCGTTCTTCTTCTTGTAGTTGTTGGTTGTTGGTTTCGAGTTTCGCTTGTCGTTCCTGCATGTCTTTAACACGTGCATCCCGATCTGAAGATATTACACAGTCAAACAACAAAATTAAATATTTAAGAATTATTTGCCGAAGGTGAAGTGAATATCGGGGAATAATAACCGAAACGAAGTTGAGGTTATTATTCCCGATATTCACTGAGCCTGAGGTGAATGATTGCTTTAGTATAAATACACAGGTGATTCTTTCAAAAAAAGAAGAAGAAAAAAGAAGATAAAAGATACATTTAAAATTAGGTAACAGCAACAAAGCGGCTGGCCGCCATTTTGGATTATCGCTGGAGGTGATTATCGTGTGATAGTGTGATTTTCTCGACCAATCAGCGCGCGAGATTTTCAATAATCACCTGTGTATTTTTATACTAAAGGTTGATAAAGATTTTGTTGAATGTTGTATACCGAGCCCGAAATGCACTATGGTTGATTTTAATGCAATCAGCGAAAGGTCACAACGAGAAACGAGGAGTTCTCCGATTTTCCTCCGGAAAAGACAACTCCTAAATTCTAATTCAATCTTTAAACGATCTGCAAATTATGGTTAAAATTGACCTATTTGGGTTTCCGTCTGACCTCAGATTAGTAAATTAAATTAATTCTTTTTATATTAGCATCCCACTAGTAATAGAGTCTGTAAATAAAACCATTTCTGCACAGAGCAGACATTCATGACATGACACGTACCATTATAATAGTTGACAAATTCACAGGTCATTGATGGAGGAACGAACCACTTTCGACGCACGTTTACAACATCTCTTGTCTTGGTAAAGGACGAATCAGTGTTAGTCAGTCAAGGATCAATAACATGAAGCCAGGAGGGAGGGGGGGGGATCATTTTGTTAAGACAAAATAACAAAGAAATAACAACTGTTGCATGGAAAAGAGAAATAATTTTCTAGGAATGACACTGGATGTGTTTCATTGACCTACTGATTATCTATTAGGTTTCCTCTTATTAATGCCGGGTGTCAAATGGGTTTCAAATGGGTCTTGTTTTAACAAATAATGTCTTACRAAAAGGACCACAATTTATTTTATCCCTCTTCTTGAATCCTTTTTCTTTTTTCTTTTTTCCCCCATCCTTTTCATTTCATTTTCCTTTCTTTCTTTTTTATTCTTTTGTCCTTCTGTCCCTTTCTTTATTTTTCTTTTCTTCTTCTTCATTCTTCTTCTCTTTCTTTACTCCCTTCTTTCTTTCTTCTCTTTTCTTCCTTTTCGTCCTATCCCTTCCCTTTGTTATCTTCCCTTCCTTTTTTTGTATCTACTTTTGATAACAATTAAAAAAAAAAAAGTTTTGACTGACAATCACCAACCGCCCAGTCCAAAAAGATAAATAAATATTAACTCTTACTTGCTCAGTTGTAAATCCTAAAAGAACTGCTTTCTTGAACAACTGCCGACAAGCTAAAAGAAATACCTCGTTTTAGTAAGCATTATTTTGGAAAGAAAGAATTGTGAATTGAATTAGGATTACCTCCAGGACAAGAAGATAGAAGACGAGAAACTTTCTCAGTTGGAGCTGTGGGAAGAAAAGAAAGAAGTTTCGTATTCAGTTTTTTGATGTAATTTCTTAAAGAAATTGAATGGAATGAAGTCGAAACAAATCAAATATTTTTTCAGAAATTTTGAGATAGGATGCTAAATAATATAGTCAATTGAAAAAATTATGAAAAATATAGTTAGTCTTTTATGACATGCGTTACACGTATTTTTCCTTCGCCATGATTGCTTATGTTGAAACAGTTTTTATCTGTTTTAATTTTAATCATGATTTTTCGAGGTCAGATCCAGGGAGATAAATTGGGCTTAGAGATTAAAAAAATAATGATAAAGTACAGGTCCAACCTAAAAAGGGCGCTATGTGATGCATTTCTAAGTAACAGCCACCCCCTTGAARTCGTTGTTTTAGTCGTTTAGTTTACCGTGGTTAACTTGTGAACTTTTAAAACAAAGAAGAAAAAATTAAATCTATATTTTATAAATTTGGGAACTTACTGTACAAGGCTTTTGTTGGTGAACTGGCTTTTTCTTCTTTTACTCGTTTTTGGATTTCATTTAAGCAGGACTCAATTCTTTCCTGTTGATCAATCAATACAATCAAAATATCAAGCACTCTTTTTTATGATTTTATTAACGGCAGATATATTCTTATTCACTTATTGTGTGTTATATGTAGCATTCGTAAAAGTTGCGTGTACAAGTTAATAGGAACTGGGAATATCAGAGGTCGTTTTTTTGCGTGTGAGCAATTTCGTGTTGTTGTTTTTAAAATAGAGTCTAAGGATGTAGTTTGAACCAGTGACATTAGCCACAATTGTATAAAAATACTAATACTAATAATAATAAACTCTTTATTAAAGAGGATAGCACGGAATAGTTACAAAATAACTAATAAACTAGTGGCCCTCTGTATCACTTCCTCTTACAAGTATGTTTTTTCCTTCCATGATTCTAACAAGTCACAATTACAACTTCAGTGATCCAGAATTTTCTTAGCCTGTTCATTTAATGGGAAAAATTTTAAGTGAGCTTCACAAGCTTTTAGTGGGTTTCTTTCTGGCTGACAGCACATGTGGTCAGTACTTGACAACCATTTGGAGCAGAAATGATGAAAAGGTAAATTATACACCGTGAAAAGATGAAAAAACTTACTGACGTTTCGGACGCTAGTCCTTCGTCGGAGTAAAAGAGCAGAAGATGAGTTTTGGAGCAGAAGATGAGTTTTGAAGACTTTTATCAACTGAGTGAAACCCAGCAGTTGTTCAGTTAGAAATTCAACCTAAAATCCCTATGTTTAAACAATCCTCTCTCTCTCTTTCTCTTGCTCTCTTTTCTTTGGGTGTGACAGCAGTATGGTCTTACCTTTTCTTCTGGTGTCTTTCTTTCACTTGCCTTCTTAAACCTTGCATTATATGCTAGCCATGCCCGACGCTGAAACACAGGTACAGTCAAGCTTACTTAACATATATATGACCTCACTTTACATTGAACATTGGTCAAGTATTGAATTTCCCATGAGGCAAAAGTGTAAAAAAAAAATGCTTGTCAAGTGACAAGTGGGATATTTCATAGTGCACTATGAGAAAGCATTGTATATAGAGATTATCACATGTTAAGAGCTCGTTTTTATTCATGAGTTTCCATATCACACCACGAACAAGTGAGTCCGTAAGTGAGTGAGTGATATCATATGGAAAACAAGTGAATAAAAAAGATGTCAGGCTCTTAACAGTCATGACGTAATAATTTGTTTATTACACATTTAGAGTTGATAAGATGACAATACTTGTAGTTTCCAGTTTACTGTGAAGTAATATTATATTGGATCACTTCCCTTACATGGTTTTTATTCACTGCTTTATCACACTGATTTTCACACGTTAAGAGCTTGATATCGTTTATATTCAAGAGTTTCCAAATGATGTGGCGAGCGAGTGAGTGATATGATATGGAAAACCAGTGAATAAAAAACAAGATCAGGCTCTTAACATGTAATAATTTGTTTAATTTGGAACAGTGGATAAATAATGGTATGCAATGTTACTTATAATAATGCCAGTAATACTAACTCTTCCTTTGGTTATGGTTTTATCGGCATGTTGTTTACAGTGTGCATACAGTGGGTCAGCTACATCCTGCAATAAACGTCATATTGTTGTTTAGTAATTATCTTGAAGTACGTCAACAAATAATGTGTTTGTCAGAAAAATAATGTTCAAGCTAATCAGATTGATTTTAATAAAAACTAGAGTAAAGAAATATAAAACCGTTTTCTATTTTAGATGCTCTAATCCTGAGAGAACATATTAAGTGAAGCATAGGAAACCATGATGCAGTTAATACTGTATGAGTCTATCAAAAAACTCTTACAAATGAGTTTTACCCAAGGATGAAAACCAGAATTTATAGGTACAGACGGTATCTGCAATTTTATCAAGTCAAGTTCACACAATAAGGAGGATTGGCAAGTTGGCTTCAGGACTGTTCCCAGCCAATCATAAGCAAGGTAATTACAGTACTTAACTACTTTCTGACCGACACAACTTGAAGTTGTGAAAGGCTTGTATGGCACTCTTCTTCAGTCGTTTCATCTAAGGCTCGTAATCTACCTATTACGCATGTTCTTATTAGATATCCGAGCCCATCCCACATGGCTAACTGCCTCCTCTATCTAGTACTACTTTCTGACTGACTTGCTTTCATTAAAGAAAAATAAACCCACCTCATCACATTCCTCTGGTACATCTGATAGAAGACCGTGGATTTGAGCACTGGAAAAAATATTAAATTGAAAATATTTAAAGCGAGAAAAAATTTTATTTGCAGTCAAATCTCTATATTTAAAAATATTACATATACACTGTAGATCAGCCACCTACCATTATATAATATAAATTAAATTACCTTAGTTCCCTACTGTAGCAAATACACATTTACTGGAGATAAATATTCATTATATATCATACACATGCTTTTATCCCACTTATTTACAGATTGGGCCTACAGCATCAGCTGCAGTTAAAATCTTACATTTCACATTTTTGATTACATTTGTTTGCTGATAAAACCTAATATTTTGGTTGATTAAAATTTATAAAGTGCTAGGAAAGCTTGAAGCAGCAGTTTATTCATCCCGGTTTGGAATAAATGACCACATGTTGCAACTAAGGGAAGCACAGTTGGCTTGTGCTGCTAATGTACTGCTTCTCACCAATGTGAATGGTGTTTGAGTCTTGTTTATTGGTTCTCTCCTGTGCTTTGAGCTGGGTTTTCTTCAGGTTCTCCAGTTTTCCATCCTCCTCAAAAAGCAATTCCTTATTCCAATTTGAACTTTGGGCTTTTACCTAGTTTGGAGCCTAGCTCTGTTGTGATTGACTCATGCTGTGATACAACAGCCAAAGCTTAACAGAAACTCACCAAGTAACATGGAAGTAAGTTCTACATAAACCAGCATCACAACCCACACAGACACCTGTCCTACTGAAGCGCTCATCTTCACACAAACTGCATTCCTGAAATTTCAATATACCAAAATTAAAGTTTTGTTTTCATATACAGCTGTCATTAGTCTTTTATAGTTATTGTAAATAGTCTGCATCTAAAAATATGTTTAATAGTTTTGTCCATGATGCTAAATTAAGTATAAGTTGTGTTACAAGTATGTTGTGGTGTAGTCAGTATGGTATGGTCAGTGCCTGGGAGGGTCTGTGACCAACACTTAAACAAGATAAAAGTTATATTTGCATTTTCGCTCTTATCTCTCATTTATGATGAAAATGTTGATTTTTGGACAATTTGGTTGGATTTCAAAGTAAAACAGTTTCATGAACTCAGAGACATAATGGCTGTTTCAAATATATGCATGTATGTTTGAGATGCTTTTGAATTTTATTGATTGACATAAACTTACAATGTATGCCTGGATTGCAAAACGCTACACCAAGAGAAATATGAGGCTCTAAAAATAAATTTAGGTCCATGGTGAAACACTACACCATGAGAAATATCAGTCTCTGGGCATAAATTTATGTCCATGGTGAAACACTACACCATGAGAAATATCAGTCTCTGGGCATAAATTTATGTCCATGGCGAAACACTACACCATGAGAAATATCAGTCTCTGGGCAT